GGAGCTTGACGAACTTTGCTTTCATTTTTTTGCGACGAATTCCAAGAGAATGAAATAATCGACGATCTTTTCTTGCTCTCTGTTGGCGTCTCGTCAATCCATTCAACTTTATAATCAGTTAACACGTTTTTGATGGCATTCTTAACCATCCCGACAACCTTTTTATCCATGCGTTCTTCATCAGTGACAAATTGTGAATAACCTTTTCCAGCTCGAGCAATCGATTCTATTAAATGATGTGAGACGCTGGATCCGATTCCTAAAGAGAAGAGTCGGAAACTTTTCTTTGGGTTGTTGGCAGTTTTTTGAATCAGTTGGACTATTTCGTCAACGTCCCATACTTCACCATCTGTCAATAAGAAAACAGAGGTTGGCATATCAATACGAGCAGTATTAACTACCCATTCGAGAACGCTTTTGATTTCTGTTCCTCCGTAATCGGCACCCATATTTTCAACATACGATAAGGCTTGTGAAAATGTATCCTCTGAATAGCGCACACTTTCTTCATATAAGGAATCGAATCTGCTTCCAAAAGAAACGATATTGAAAAGACAGTCCTTGGGAAGCGAACGAAGAATTAATTGAAGGGCTTGTGATGCTCTACGAATTGGACCACCAGACATTGAGCCTGACCTATAAAATTTAATTTCGAAAAAATTATTATAATGCAAATTATCCAAATAGCTAATCGTATACGCTAAATAATACCTGTCAACCACGAATATCATTTCGTTCATTTTTGCCACACTTTGTGAAAAATTTGGAACCAAAGTCAACATAACAACATTTGTTTCTGTCTTTGGATTATACTCCATGAATGCTCTGTATAATTAAAAAGAAGTAAATGAGAAATAAATTTTCTGAAAAGTCGATGAAATATATACCTTGGTTCATCCAATCCATTGCTTTTAACCACCAAAATAAAGTCTCTTTCTAAGTAAGTAATTTCCTCAGCTAAACTAATTCTTGAGACTTTAGCATCGCCACCGATATTCAATTCAGTAGAAATCAAATGAGAAGGCGACTCGATACTTGTAATTGTATCCGTCATTCTGCATGTGATTGAAAGTCCTAAAGTATATTTTGTGTCAGCATAACTTGGATTTTCCGCGGTTACAATTTTTTCTGCATCTGTCGTATCTTCGGAAAAAGTTACAGGCGAGTATCGAGACGAAACAACAGTTGGTAAGACGAAACGAATTTTCTCTGACTCCGAGTCATGTTTCAGCTCAGTAACATAGGTAATTCTGATGGTTATTGTTTGGCCAGAGGATAAGTTACCAAGAGAGCATTGAAAAACGTCAGGAAGTTTCTCCTCAAGAAGATACGCTCCTTTCCCTTGCTTATTTCATAATTTGAAAGTACGAAATTCAATAATAAACTAATGAAGATTAAAAAATGATCGTGATGGATTTTAGATTTACCGAGACTGCTTCTTTGTATTCTTTCACTGCTTGAGCCGATTCTTTAACGATTCCTTTAATGATTTGTCCGTCGTCAAGTTCAGCTTCAAAGCCACAAACAGC